GATTGCAAAGGAGAACCCTCAGGCCACAGTTACAACAGAGAATAATAATTCCATCATGAGTTTCTTTAAAACTCTGGTAAGTAGTTTCTTTTCCTTTTTTCTCAACCCTATTGCTCAAAGGTTTTTTTAATGCTAAGAATAACGTATCTTTGAATGATATTGTACTGAACGGATTAGCATCATGATGGAGCTGGAACATTGGAGAACCGGGACAGGGTACACTTCGTAAGAGAATGGTTTTACATTAGGCTTTCAGTGAAGGACCCACTGGAGTTGGGAATCATGATATGAACAGTAGGTGTCCAAATTATGTAACACGAATTGTATCATAGTGGAATTCTATTGCAGTTGGATGGTGTTTTATGGTCATTGATCATAAAAATAATTGGAAAATTCCTCCTTGTGTTATTGACCTATCAAAGCAGTTTTGCCACTCAAGTGGCAAATAAAACACTTTGTAGAAATCACTTGCTATATTACTACATCTAAGTCTACAATTTTAATCAGATGGGAGCAGAGACCATGTCTTCCTTTGCTTGCTCATCATTGACTCGCCAGAGCTGGTGGCCTGGTACAAGTCAGATATTCAAAAATGGTGGAACCAGTGAATGCACCATTTTAAACAGTCAGCTCCAAATGTGTTCAAGCTATTTACAAATATCAAGTCAAAAGAGAAAACTAACCAACAAAAAAGCCACTACAATGTGCCACACCCACCAAAAGGTTGTGCGTTTGTTTGGAGTAATGGCAGAATCAATGAGAAGTATGTGGCCTTGCAGGGGAATAATTTTAGATGTGGTCAAACTCTTGGTGAATGTGTAAGATCTGATGCATTTACTTATAAAACAATGAATTTTGTTAACTTAAATGTTACGTTTTGTATACCTAGGTATTACCCAAAGTCCTTAGGTTTCTACCAATCTGAATGGACTTTTCATTTCATTCTTTACCTGTATAGTGAACTATCTAGGAACTAAAAATCACCCTAAAGAACTATGATTTTTAACTTTGGTTTTCTCAGGCTTTTAAGGTTTCACCTAACGAAGCTGAACCAAAAAAAGATCCTCAAGACACGGTAGGTGAAGTGTGTGTATGTTTGTGTTCGTGCGTAGAATTCAATTTGAATTTTTATCTGCTTGTTCATTTCTTGAATTTTATATATTGACGAACTTATTTAGAGGTTTAATATTGCTATTTGTTTATCTTTTAAATGTTTTATTTACATTAATGGTATTCTAATGAAAATTTTAGCAGGAAGCTTGAAATATATACCAGTTTTCCTTAAATAATGGCACAATAACCAATTTCTTATCTAGAATAAGAAGACAGTACTAATAATTGTATCTTCATCTTATTATTCTTAGTTGTGTGTAGAGAGACCTAGGGGATGTAGTAAAAATTAGCACTGGAAATGGGAAGGAGGGGAGACTTGAATTAAAGTAGAAGGAAGCTACTATATTTTTGATGTTTTTCATGTAATGTGAAAAAATAACCCTTCACTGCAAATGCAGTTGTTTGGTGAAATAAAGCAGTCTCCACTGGACATTTGCTAAATGAAAGAAGGTGTAGAAGAGTTAGGATACCCTAGATAGCATAGAGGGAGCCCTGGTGGCGTGGTGGTTAAGTGATTGGCTGCTAACCAAAAAGTCGGCAGTTCAAACCCACC